CTGGTCTGTATGTGGGATCCGAACCCTCGGCGGGAGCGCCGCCGCGCTCCCAAGCGGCGCACTGTAGCAGTGCACCACCGTGCCGGCCCAACAGCTAGGTGTTTACGTGTTTCCTTCCCTAGGCCAAAATCAAGGCAAAAGTAGCCTTATTCTCTTATCAAACTATATACTTTAAATGGGTGATTTTTATGATCTATAATTATATTGCAATAAAGCTGTTCAAAAAAAAAAAAAAAAAAGAATAATGCTGGGAGAAGCACTCAGTAATAATTGGTTTTTAAACTGTCCAGCAGGTTGGGCCAGTCTTATCTGACAGTGTGCAAGAGGCCCTTCTGCTACTGCAGATAGAGCATCACTTTATCAGAGAGAGGGTCCGCATTTAGGGAGAACTGATCAGAAACATCTTCAGCATGTGATGAGTTTGAAGTCTTGATTATAGACCTGATAAAAAAGAGGTAGTATGGTTCATGGAAAAGTTTGTGAGTGGGTGGGGATAGGCGCAGCAGCAAGAACTCGGCGTGGTGTGGAATTTGGGGCACATTCATATTAGTGAGAGGTGGTAAAGTTAAGTTAGTTCAATGTTCATGATTTTGGAAGCAGAATAGGAAAAGTCCCAGGGGACATACAATTATAGAGGCACATGAAGATGGTATTTGGCAACTGAAGGCTTAGGTTTGATCCACTGTTTAATCTCTCTGAGACTCAGTTTATCCATCAATGAAATGCTGAAAATAATATCTATCTAGTAGATTTGTCATGAGAATTCTGTAAGTTAATCTATTGGATCAACTTATGTGAACATGCTTTGTACAAATGTCATTTATTAATGCTATTTTATCCTTCATTTATTTGGCAAACCTATTGAGTGCCTACTGTGTGCCAGGCATTGTTCTTGGCACTGAGAACACAACAAAATAGAGCCATCCCTGCCATCATGGAGTCTACATTCCAGTGGGGGGAGAAGGGAAAGAAACAACATTAGATTGTAACAAGTGCTATGAGAAAAAAATAAAAAGAGCAGAAGAGAGTGTGCAGGGTCGTTAAAGATGGCCCCACTGAGAAGGTAACATTGAACAGGTACCGAAGGAAAGATACGAGGGAATAAGCTATGGGAACATGAAGGCATGCCATGCAAAGGAGATAGCAGCTCAAGGGCCTAAGGGTGCGACAGTCCCAAAGGAGTATGTTTGTTATGTTCAAAAGGCAGCAAAGAGGTCTGTATTAGTCCGTTTCTGTTGCTTATAAAAAAAATACCTGAAAGTGGTGATTTATAAAGAAAAACAAAATTTATTGCTTACAGTTTCTAAGCCTAGGAGGTCTGAAGTCCATCTGGTGGTGGTGACAGTGACCCAGGGGGTCCCACACTGGAGACAGTGGAAGCAGAGACAGCAGAGAGAGAGATGGACTCTCCTCTTCTTTCAAAGCCCTCAGAACCACACCCCTGACCACCATTTTTAATTCATTCACTACTGAATGGTTCTATAATCTAATCACCTCTTCAAGGCTCCACCTTTCAATTACCATAGTAGGATTTCCCACCCTCTTAACAGTCACAATGGGGACCAAGTTTCTGATATATAAAACTTAGGGGACACAATTCAAGCTTTGGTGAGTTTGGGGGGGACATAATTCAATCTGCTACAAGCTCAATGTCAAAGTACAGTGAACAAAGTGAGAATGGAGGGGGATGAAGCAGGAGACCATGGCTAGGACTCTGGCTTTCACTCAGAGAGACCTGGGGAGCTCCCGAGGGCTCTGAGCAGAAGAACGACATGGCCTGATTTGTACAAAATCACATGATCTGACTGCTGTGTTGAGAACAAACAAGCGGTGAAGGTGGACAAGGCTGGCAGCAGAGAGAACAGTTAAGCGACTGAGGCAGTGAGCAGACTGGGAGACGATTTCACTTGGGTGAAGATGATAGTAGAGCTGTTGGGGTTCGAGAGGGAATAGTTTGTTGGATTAACGTCCTTGAATAGGTGACAGGTGATGTGCTCTAGTGAACGAGTAGATGGAGCGGTGCAGACAGGACCGTGGCCAGTTCACCTACAGTTAAAGGAAGGCAGGTGGAATATACAGAGTCAGGAGGGTGGATGTGCTATAGGCGCATGTGGACTGGCCTCTCCCTTTTTCGAGTTGCCCCTGAGATGACAATAATCCAAGGTGTCATTAGAGAGAAAGCCCAACTGTGTCCCTTCTCCTGGCCAAAATCCAGTTCAAGGCATGAGAACTCTGCTCATGCAGTCCTGGATAGGACATTGCAAAATGGCACATAAATACTTTCCAATAATGGGATTGCATGCAGGAGACCTCCCAGCTCCCACCTCTGTTTGCTCACCCTTTGCAACATGACTTGCTGCTCCTTCATCAAGAGGTAAAGTCTGTTTCTTCACCTCTTAAGTCTCTAGCACTCTACTGTCTTTCTTTCTATGAAATCCTCTAGGTGTCCAAGAAAAGGTTGTACATATGGCAGGAACTCAAGCCACATTGCTGACTATAAATTCCTGGAATAATGTTGGCCAAATTATTTGACCTTTCATCCCTCTTCAATTTCCATAGTAATAATGAAGAAACTTATGAGAAGGAAGAATATGATGTATTAGTGATGACTATATTTGACTAAGTAGCATGAATCTACTATGAGGTGGGTAATAATGTATATTGAACCAACTCCTCTAATACCCCCAAACCTTTCCTTTTTTGGGCATTGCCAAATTGCCCCTCCTGAGCTCTTTCTAGAATGCTTTCCTTTGCACTAAGATAATGAAGGCTTTGATTAGAATGTAAATACTTTCCCAAAGGGGCTAATAAATAAAGTTATTTTTAGATGTTAACATCCTGAAATGACTTGCGCCAACTTCCAAACTTTACATATAAGGAACTAGATACTCTAAGGTTGTTGCACGGTAAGCTAGTAGCAGAGCTGAGACTCCAACTCAGGCATCACAGGCCCTAGTTAAATGGGAATTCAGGCAGGGACCTTAAAAACTTAGATTAGCATGTATGTAAAAAGCCTCTGCAGAATCTCACTCTTCTTTACAACTTCAGCTTTGCCCACATTTTCTCTTATCCAGCCAGATTAGCCCAAATTTCCTAAGCCTCCTATCTCTAGCCTTAGACTCCCTTCAGGAAATCTCAGCCTGAATCTTCAAGGCAGGTGAGATCATTGGCAACCTATTATATCTGCTTCATCTCTAAGTCTTGTCTATTCTACTGGGGATGGGTGGTGGTGAGTCTGCCCTTGGGGCTGCCATTACTCTCCCTACTCATCCTTCCTAGCCTGTCTCATCAGGCATTTTGTTCGACAGGAAGCATGGCTCTGCCTCTCTGGTCACATACAAAATCCAGATAATGCTGGCAGCTAGAGTCAGTCCTGGCATTTTGACAAAGTGATACGAAGGCAAAGAGGCAATTCCCGTCAGTGTGTCTGCCACTGCACAGGCAGAACATTTCATGCCAACGATGGGAGCACAATCCAAATGCCTACTTTCAAAAAGGCAGGTGAGGGGCTGGCCTATTAGCTCAGTTAGTTAGAGCGCAGTCTTGTAATACTAAGGCCATGAGTTCGGATCCCCATACTGGCCAGCTGCAAAAAAAAAAAAAAAAAATCAAAAAGGTAGGTGGGCAAAATTGTGTCCAATTATTTATTGGTTTTAGCATGGAGGAAGGTAGCTAAGATCACGTAAAGCAATCTATCAACTGAAGAGCACCTATACTTGACCTGAGGATCTATTCAAAGACACCGAGGCAGAGATGCCCAGAACTACACACACACGCACAACACACACACACATGCATTGGTTTTAGCATGGAGGAAGGTAGCTAAGATCACGTAAAGCAATCTATCAACTGAAGAGCACCTATACTTGACCTGAGGATCTATTCAAAGACACCGAGGCAGAGATGCCCAGAACTACACACACACGCACAACACACACACACATGCACAAACATTACCACACCTTCACCCATCCATTCAGATGTTCATACTAACAGGCTCAGATACATACCAGTGCACACCCTCCGACACTTGAGACATACATAGACACAGTAAAACACTGTCTCTATTGCACATTCAGACATTATCACGTAGATGCTTAACTCCCTTTATACACATTCAGGCACCCCACTCCAAGCACATCTCTGACACCATTCTGCTCTGCCTTTCTGTTGCAAGTGTAGTACTCCTTTATTTGGAGGGGGGAGGTCACCTCAGTCTCTCACAGCTGACAAGCAAGAGTCTTTTCATGTTTGACAGCAAAAAACCCAGCCCCCCAAATTCCAAAGCATCTCAACTCCACATGTTCATGTTAAAAAAAAAAATGCATTTTCCAGTTCCTATTTATCAAATACATAGCAGCCAACGGCTGAAGCCTGTTTTCCTTTTATTCCTTATTAAAATTAAGCAGATGGATCAACAATTAAAGTATTTTCACTCCCAAAATTCATGCATCCGGCACATATATGTACATCTACGTGTTTATTAGTACCTATTATTATTTAATATAAAGAAACAAATTTGAAGACTCAGCAAGCTTTCCAGGGGTATTGATTCCTTGTAGAGAAATGAAATGTAACAGGCAAGATTTTTGATAATGAAAGTGATTACATTCCCTTCCAGCAAAAGGAAAGGGAAAAGATACCTTGAAATTATGGGGAAACGGGAGGAGGGGTGGAAGAACCACAGACGGAGACTGGAGGATAAAGCAGCAGGGCGGTGGGGGGGGGGGGCGCCTTTCCAATCTCAAAATCCCAGCTCTCCTGGAACCCCTACGGATCTCCATGTCTGGTAGACATGCACAGAGGGAAGCCAACCAGAGCTCCTTTTTGTCACCAACGACATCCATCAGTGTTATTATTGTTAGCATTATTACTGTTATCTGCATCCCGCATGGCAGGGTGCTGGACTTACCCCAGTAGACGAGCACCAGCGAAGCCAGGGGAAACAATCTGTTGAAGGCAGGCATCTTCTTCGGCCGGCTGCTTCCGGGGCTCCACAGAGATTCCCTCGGTCAAGGACTGCGCCCTCTCAGATTCTTTCGAGGAAACCCTTGGGGAGGAACTGCCCCAAGGGGGCGCCTTCCTGACTGAAGGGGGGGCCAAGCGCCCGTGTCTGGGGAGGCTCTGCGGGCTCTTGGGGCTGGGCGAGGGGTGTCGGCCCCACGCTACCCTAGCGGAGCCCCAATTCGAGGCAGTGGATCAGCTGCTCCGCGCTCTCTCCCCGGAGCCGGTTGCTGGGATCCGGCTCAGCACCACGGACAGAAGCTTCCCCGCCCACCCCGGAACTTCAAATTCCAGTCGCTTCCCTGCCTGTCTCCGGTTCGCGCCCAGGGCGAGCTGAGCAGCGAATGCAGCCGCGCGGCCGGCCCCAGGAGGCCGGGCTGTCGAAGAGGTCCAGGTCGCTTCGGCTCCCGCCTCCCCTAGGAACAGCTACGCTCCGACCGGGATCCGCCGAGACCAGGGAGCTCCGGCTTCATCCGCCGTGATCGGCTTCCCCGGCTGGGCGTGTCCCCACACCCGAAGCCACCGGGGCTGCCCGTCTGGGCCACAGAATTCGTTCCACGTCGGTCCCGTCCACACCCGTCCTTGGCTCCCCGGCGAGGTCCTGAGGGGCCAGGAAGGAGGCGGGAGCTCCCGCTCGGCCGGCGATCTCAGAGACGGGGGGCGGTAGAGAGGGTGAGCTCCCTCCCCGGAGCTCGGCCGGGATCGTGCGGGGCCCCGACCCTCGGTGGCAGGTGATCAGCGTCCCCTCTCCAGAACCCCCGGCGTGCGTGCTCCGTCCGCCTTGACATGCGCAGGCGGCTCTCCGCCTCCACCGCCACCACGGACCCTCCCCCTGTGCACACACTCCCCACCCCCAAACAGGCGCGCCCCTCCCAGGCCCAGCGCCGCGCCGAGCGGGGGCGGCGCCCAGAGCGGCGCAAACACCTCCACCCCGGGGACTTCTCGGCTCGCTCGCGGGCTCTCTCCAGGGCTCCACACCGCTCCCGAGCGCGGGCGCACCGCCTCCCAGCAGCCCACACCCGCCAGGCCACCCACTCCTGCTCCCGCACACACGTGCTTGCCTCCAGCCCCGGGGGTGGGGGCGGCAGAGCTCTTTCAGGCAATGATGTCATCTACAGTGTCCATAGTACGTGGCTCCCGGCTTCCCTCCCTCCACCCCCGACCCCAGGCCCTCCAGGCCCTCCAGTTCTCGCTGTCTGTCCTTTGTTTATCCTTGAGTAAGTGGTTCTGATAATCCCTGCCCAGGGCAAGCGGGGCAGGGGTGAGGCGCACCTGTTCCCATGTTGACCTCATCACCCAATGAGGTGATCCAAATGCCAGCGCAAGAGGGGTGTTGGGGTGTGGTGGCAAAGGAGGATTCTTGCTCTAACCACTTTTTTTTTTTTTTTTCATTTAAGCAGATAGATTGTGATTTGGCATCTTCCAACTATTAGCCACTCCCTAGTCCTAGCAGCTGTTTGAATGTGGGAAGGGAAACCTGAACCTTTACATTCAGTTATAAACTTAAATTGACATAATAGATTAGGCATGCCTGGAATTGGAGTGAAAGATTAATACAAGAGCCCTTCCCCCAGGCCCCTCTTCTTCCCTCCTGCTCTCTTTCCAAAAGGGGAAGCTTAACATTGATATCCCAAAGGGAAGGGTAGTGTAACAGCTGACTGTTAAGTGAGCCATAGTCAGGAAATGCTCCCTTTTAACATATCACAGAGCAACAGAATGTCTCCAATAGGATCTTCTTCCTGGGCAAAGAGCCACCAGCCATAAATTCTGTGTTGTTTTGAGGACCAGCCCTTGAAGTACACTGTGTTAGACTTGGATGGGAAGTTAAAGTTGACTTAATTCCACCTCCTTTCCAATTCATGAATCCCCCAACAACAGTCCCGATGAATGGGCTTGACCTTTTTCAGTGATGAGAGGTTTCTACTTCACAAGTTCATCTCTTCTGTTTAAGGCAGTTCTTTATATTTAGTTAAATTCTGTACACTCCTCCTTCCTCCCCAGACTCTAGTAAGTGGTCCTCTCCTCCTTGAAAGAGCTATGCTTGCCCACCCAGGCCCTACTGCAAGTCTCTTGTTTGGGGCTAAGCTTCCACAGTTTCTTCTAGTCTATTACCAAGTAGTTTCCAACCCTTAGTTATCCTGATTGCTTTCTCAGGAGGAGTTTTAGTTTGTGAGCATGATTTTCCAATTGACATTTATGTGGATTATGACCAGCATAAATCTGGTGGAATTATGGCCACACTTGCTTTAGAGGGTGTATCTATTCAAGCACACTTACAGCCACATCTCATTCAAAATGACCTTATGTTCAATGAAAATCCCTATTTTTCACTTTATCTGTTGCAGAGTCATTTTGTATTTGTACAGGGAATTTTGGAAATTTTATTATGGAACTTTGCCCTTATTGCTGTTAAAGTTTATTAGTTTCAACCAAGTATTACATTCTGCTAATACTTTTATTGAATTCAGATTTAATCACCCAGTATAGCTCTCTTCCTTAGCCTTATTTCATCTCTAGGCTTGAAAATCACTTGATCCAAACATAGATTAAAAAAAAAAAATAAGAACAGGGAATAAACAGAGAGTCCCTTTAGAAGCGTACCAAACTGTAGTTTGACAATGAACTACTAATTAAATTTCTTTAGTACTGTTTAGTACTGTTGTTCACTCGTAAATAAATACCCAAACACATCTTTCCATTACAGATGAGTTTTCCATATACATTTTCCATATGTATAGCATGACACATGAAAATTTAAAACAAAAGGCATATGTCACAAATTAGACTTACAACAATTCACAGGAAAGAAGTAGAATCAATGATTTGCATTTACATGGGAACACATCTTCAGCAATCCATTTCAGACCATTCCAAAGTGGAATGAATTACCTTTTGTTATGTTTGAACAGTTCTTATTCAAACAATTACTGCAATGTTTGGGGGAAAAAATCTTCTATAGGTTGGAAATTTGAAATAGATTGTGATAAAGTTCCAATTGTCTTTGAGGTTCTATGATTTTATTAAAAGTCTCACCAAGATTGAGATATATTGTTTGACTGGGATATTTTCAGTCTGGTAATTCTATCAATCATCACAACACCTACCACCACTACAACTAGCCACAGCAGGAATTGGATTAGCTTTGCGTAATTTGTTCTTACGTTCATTTATGCTGATTCCTAGTATTCATAATGTTATTTTCTAAATACTTACCAAACCCATTTTAAATAATTACTTTGAGGATATTATATGAGGTTTTAGGAAAAACATACTTGCCTCTACTTGCCATAAGCCACTTCTCATGTTCTCTCCTCTATTCAGAACAGGAGCATCTGGTCTCTTCAGTCTTCTGCTGTTTCCCTTGATTTTTGGCAGTGGCTCTCAGTCACTTTTGCAAGTACCTTAAGTTCCCTGAAGTACATTTGGCCTTGTTCTAAAGGTTTTAATTTATTTGATTTGTTTAAATTATCCCTTCCTCTTTCCTGCCATTTTGGCTTCAATCCTTTCTTACCAATGTTTGCTTGGCCTTTTCTAATTTAATGATCATCCTCTCCTTACAGCTCATGGGTGAAACCATAAGTCCTATTCTCCAAACAGTGGACAGAGCAATCTTTGCATTCTGTAAGATCATGAACTTCTCTTGCATAAAGCTCTTCCATGGCATCTCACTGCAGTTAAATAACATCTGGATTCCTCACCGTGGCCTTACAAGGTCAGCCCTGTGCCCTGGCTGTCTTTCCACACTCATCTCTGCCACTCTCTGGCTTGTCCACAGTGTTCCAGCTACATTTAATGTTTTTTAAATGTATCTCCAACTTATCAAGCTTTTTCCCCCTCTTTCTGTTTCCCATTATTATTATGACAGCCTTTGTACTTGATACCCCCTCAGCCTGGAATGCTCTTTATCCTATGGCTGGTTTCTGGTCATTCCAGCTTTGCCTCAAAGGACTTCACCTTAGAGTGGCATTCCCTGGTCGTTCTTCCTAAACTGGTCTCCTACCCACCTCTCTCATTGGAACTACTCCCTATCTCATTACCCTGCTTCTTGCTCTTCATATCTTCTCTGGCTATCTAACAGTATTTATTTATTTATTTTTTTGGCACCTGCCTGTACAGGGGTCTGAACCCTTGACCCTGGAGCTCTAGCCAACTGAGCTTACCTTATTTTTAGTTTAGGTACTTGCTAATTTCCTATCTGCTCCCATCGGGTTGTTTCTCTTCCATGAATGCAGTCTTGCTTGTTCTGTTCACTGCTGTACTCTCGTGCCTAGACTGGTGTCAGGCAGATATTGGGGCTACTTTATAGAGGACCCAAATGAATGTACAAGAGAGTATGGAAAGAGTAAAAAATGGAGGCCAGAATCAATACAGGGAACAGAAAAAGAAAAGTTAGAGAAATAGAAGAGGATCCAGCAAGATGAAAAGCCACAGTAGGCAAAAACAAAGAGAGTCTCTAGACTTAAGGGACACTCCTCCTTAGAGAGAATTCCAGCTAACTATGCTCAGAGACTGAAGAAGAGGATGGAGCACAGAACCTGAGGCATTCAGAGATTCTGAGGTGGAGGGGACCAATGACTCTGATAAAAGAACAGTGGCATCTGAGCTATGCAGGGAGAGGCTAGTTTACTCATGTCACTAAGAGTATTGGGGAGGAATTAAAGACAGCAGTAATGGCAGTGACATTGTGAGTTAAGATAAAGTATGGGAACTTAAGACACACATATTAACCTTGATAAAACAAGAAGTCATATCATGCATTGAGTGTAGGTGGCAGGAGGCACAGGAGAACTTGGGACAAGGGAGATGGTCTGAATTGCTGTGAGCCCTCTCTTGAAGCATAGAAGAAAGCCAAGAGGAGCACTTTAAAAACAACATATACTTGAATGAAGAGTCAAGATGCAGAAATCAGAGCCCAACCTAGGCAAGCCAACTGACCTGCTTTTGCTATTCTAAGTGGATTTTGAAAAATAGTGCACAGCCCATGGGACAAGGAGAGGAAAGAAATATGTTTATTTTAAACTGTGGCCAAAGAGCACATATGGAACTGAGAGATATCAGTCTCTCCCAAATTGTCCCCTCATCCTGCCAGCCAGCTGTGTAGTATCGTCACGGCCAGGGGAAGTTTGGGATTAGAACAGGAAGCAGTGACATGATGATTCCACTATGCAATCCCTTCCTGGATTTGCACGTGAGAGAGAACCTGGTAGGTAAGATGGGGCCAAAAGATGTTTGTTGAAATGAATAGAATTTCATCTGATTGATTAGGGAAGCCAGAGCTTTCCTGACACCCAGGAGTGTCCCCACCATAACAACATCCTATGTACAAAAGAAGCCGTCATCACCCTATTCTTGATCCATGTCTAGGAAGCCCACGGTTATGCTTCAGTGAGAATGCTGTCAATAGGTAGTTTTGATAATCCAAACATGAGATTGGGAATAGAAATACATAATTGGTGATAAAGTAAT